TTGGGGGCGAATCATCTCTATTTTGAGGGCTCTCCTGTGTATTGCAGGCTACTTAGGATCCCGGGACTTACTGCTCCCCAGGTTCCACAATTTAAAAAAAAAAAACTTAAGGTGCTGTCACATGTTCCTTGGGGACCGAGAACCACTGGTCTGGCCCCTGCCGCCTGCCTTAGGATCACTGTTAAACCAAGCTAGCTTCAGCCTTAAGAGCAGGGGAGGCTTGCTGTTACTCCCTTTACCCCTGGGTGGGGCAAAGTGTTGACATCTGCTGCCAAACGGAGGTTGGAGGTTCACGGTCCACCCAGAAGTGCCTCGGAAGAAAGGCCTGGTGATCTACTTCTGAAAAATCTCTGCGGAAAACCCTATGAGGCACAGTTCTACTCTGACACACATGAGGTTGCCATGAGTCAGAATTGACAACAACTGGTTTCTAGGTGATTCTGGATCACACAAGTTTAAGAACCTCAGCCATAAACTATACCATTGTTCTTCCAGCCCCCACACCCAAAAAAAAAAAAAGAAAAAAAAAACCCAAACTACGTATAAAACCCTGCCATCAAGTCGATTCCAACTCAGTGGCCCTAGAGGACATAGTAGAACTGACCCATTGGGTTTCCAAGGCTGTAGATCTTTACAGAAGCAGACTGTTTCATCTTCCATGAAGTGGCTGTTGGGTTCAAAGCTCTGACCTTTTGGTTAGTAGCCCAGTGCCATAACCACAGTACCACCAGAGCTCCTTAAACAGATATATGTAAGATCTAAACTTAAGCAGGAGTTTCTCATCTGAGGTCTGTGAATGTGCTTGTAAGTGCCCTTGGGAATTATATCTGCATTTTTGTGTATATAAGGAGCTTTGGTTTTTTTTTTTTTTTTTTTTCCGTGGTGTAGTGGGTAGGATGTTTGGCTGCTAACTAGAAGGTCAGTGGTTCAAACCCACCAGCTGCTCTGTGGAAAAAAAGATGAGCCAGTCTGCTTTCATAAAGAAGCCTTAGAAAATCAAAGGGGGTCACTATGATTTGAAATCGACTCAATGGCAGTGAATTTGGTTTTTTGTTTTGGTTTTCGTATGTGTCTATTTCTAATGCACACTGGTGGTGCAGTGGTAGCCTAGAGGAGGTTAGAGGTAACCTAGATGAGGCCTGGTAAGGAGGAGCCATGCTATTCACCCTGAATATTCAATAAAGCTGACAGATGGTCTCTCTTGTTGCTTGCCTCTAGTTATCAAGTGGTGAAGACAGGAAAAGTGTTTGCTCGCCCCATGGCAGTTCCTGGGGTATGTAGCGCCTCCATAACCATCAGCTCTCCACTTTTTTGTCTAATGACTGTATTGGAACTAACATCTGGTGTTTCTCGGGGGCCAGTGCTGTGTCAGCCATCTTAAACCACATTATCCCATCCTCACAGCTGCCCTCTGAAGAAGACATTACTCTTTCCCAGTCCTCTAAGAAGTCCATTGAGAGTGATTGAGTAACCTGAACAAACCCAAGAGGTAGAACTGTGCTGAGAACTCAGGCCAGCTGTGTTTCTATTCAGTGCTCTGACTGTTCTACTCCTCGGTAGGAGATTTGAAAATGCCTGGGAGGTGTCCTATGATGTAGGGCAGCTGGAAACGTTCTATCAATAGATAATGTGGCTAACATGCACGAAGAAGAAAATATTTCATCAGTTAAACTGTGTTTCCTTTTGACATTGAGTTACTTCAGAAGTGGCAGCCTTTGCAAATGATCTTCAGGAGACATTTTAAAACATATAAACTAACTATAGTTTCTAATTGGGTAGCATTTAGATTCTTTGACCTCTGTAATTACCCTGTAATGGTGGGTTTTTTTTTAATTATTTATTTAAATTTTTATTGTGATTTGGGTGACAGTTTACAGAGCAAGTTCATTTTCCATACAGCAGTTCATACACATTTTGTTTCATGATGTTGACTGCCATTCCCCACAATGCAACAGCTCTCTTCCCACTTCCTTCCTGTACTTACCTCTTTTCTGTGTCCTTCCCTCCCATGCATTCCTGGCCCCGAGCTGTCGCCCTGTGCAAACACTGCCCTTCTGTTCTCCCATGATTGATTGCTCTGAGGAGTGTATCTACCTGATGTAAAGGTTCACCTCATTTGCCTGTCTATTATTTGGCTGGAAGCCACAGGAGTGACTTCAATTCCAGACCTGAAGGGTGTCTAGGGGCCATAGTCTCAGGGGTTCCATCAGGTTCTATCAGACCAGCAAACCTGGTCTTTATTTATGATTTTGAGTTTTGCTCCACAATGTTCTATCCAGGATCCCCTGCACCAATCTCCCTCCAAATGGTTGACAGTGGTAGCTGGGCACCATCTAGTTCTTCTGGTCTCATATTCATGTAGGCAGAGGATCGCATGGTCACTTGGACTAATCGTTTCTGTGCGTCTTTGCTTTACTTTGTTATTCTTGCTCTGGCTGAGGAGAGACTCATCATTGCATCTAGATGGCTGCTTGCAAGCTTTTAAGATCCCAGTCGCTACTTGCCAAAGTAGGATGTAGAACAATGTTTTTGTGTAGCGTGTTATGCCAGTTGAGCTTGATGTCCCATGTGACCATGGTCCCGGTCATTATTTTCATTGTGATTTGGATGAAAGTTTACAGAGCAAACTGTTTTACCCTTTGATCATTCATACACATTTTATTTTGTATCATTCATTGCAATCCCCACAGTGTTTTAGCACTTCTTCCCATTCCTATCTGTGTTTACCATTTCCCTTCGTTCTTTCCTATCCTTTCCTGCTTTCTTAACTTCATCCCTGGGTAAATGCTGCCCTTTTAATCTCATATGGTTGATTGTTCTAATGAGTGTGTACCTTCCTGGTGTGATTGTTCACCTTATCATTTGGTTGAAAGTTGAACTACAAGGGTGAATTCAGTTCTAGGCTTCTTCTTCTTTTTAACTTATTATTTTGACCTAACTATAGATTGCAAAAATAGTACAGAGAAGTCTCATGCGCCCTTTTCCCAGCTCCCCCCATGGGTAGCATCCTACGCAACCACAGTACAATATGAAAACCAAGAAACCACCATCACTGTGATTCACCAACCTTGTTCAGACTTCACCCTTTCAATTTTTGGTTTTGTGCATTAAGACACAGGTGTTTATGATTATTGATATTGTTCAAATCTTGTCCTTACCTGCCTAGGTCCTCCTGTATTTCTCATTCAAGACCCCACGCCTGATTCAACATCCATGCAAGGAAAACTTGGTTCTATATCTAGGGTAAGCAACCATTTTGTATATCTTTACCTTCTTTTTTCATGAAAAATTTTGATTTGCTTTCATTTGTTCATTCAACCAATAGCCGTGAAGACCTCTCAGTCCTGCATTCTGCATTGCTGGCCTGTAGGGAGGCCACAGTCAGGGCCTGGGGTCAGAGGATGAGGTGCGACAAGAGCAGCATGTAACTAAGGCAGTCACGCTCGTGTGTGGTTGGTGGTGGTGTTGGTTATCGTTGAGTTGGCTTTGCCTCATGGTGACCCCACGTACAGTAGAACAAAGCATTGCCTGGTCCTGCACCATCATCGTAACCGTTCATCGGCGTGAGTCCATTGTGCAGCCACTCTGTGTTTTGGCTTTGAGAATTTGTGCATTTCATTTCGGTGATCCAGCTTATTGCTGTACAGTTGTTCATAAGTGTCATGGATTAAATTGTGTCCCCCTAAAATGTATGTCAGCTTGGGTGGGCCAAGATTCTCAATGGTATGGTAGTTACGTAATGGTATAATTATCCTTATGATGTGATCAACCAACAAGAGAATTTCCTCGGGAGTGTGTCCTGAGTACTATATATATGTAGTTGAGTCAATTCTGACTCATAGTGACCACTCCTTGGGTTTCCAAGACAGTATCTCTACAGAAGTAGATTGCCCAGTCTTGCTTCTGAGAAGTGGCTGGTGTATTTGAACCACTAGTCTTCTGGTTAGCAGTCCAATGCCTTAGTGCCTAATGCCACCAGAGCTCCTATATATATACATGTATGTGTGTGTACATATGTACATATACATATATAT